GACAAAAATCCTGTCTTTAATTCCTATATTTGAAACACGTGTTGCTTCTTTTCCAGTTCAGCCCTGAAGAGATTGCTGGAATACGGCCCATGCCGCCTGCTCCAGGGCCTGTTCCAGCACTGTGATCTGCTCTCGTGATTCCATCCCTGCCGTCTCTTTTGCCTTTGATCAGTCTATCATTGTAGCTCAGTCTGTCACACAGGACTGAGAGTTCTGCCTGCAAGGTGGTGGCAAACATCCAGAAGCCACTTGTAGTAGAGGCAGGTGCACAGGGTGCTGCCAGACGTATGAGTGCTCTCCTCTGCCTTGCAGAAGGTACCCTAGGCAGTTGTCTGTTTGGTCTCCAAGCCCCTGCCTCTCCAGCCTCTGCAAGATACTTTCATACGAGTGCAGATTTGGGATGCTTCTCCCAAAGTCATGACCCTTGCTGCAGTCACACGATAGGTCATCCAGCTAGCAGCTCTAGGCTGAATGAAAATGGAGCACTCAGAATGACACAAAGGGTTAAAGCTGACCAGCAAACTACTGTCTGATGCAGAGAAGGCAAATGGGAAGCAAGCAGGTAGGAGGGCTGGAACATACAAGCCCAGACCACTGTGAGATGGCAATGAAGCTCCCTGCCTAAGCTCTAACATCCACACTACAAAATACACAGGTCACAAGTCGTCTTAAAAAATAAGCAAGTAAAAAACCCAAACAAACAACCCTTCACTTGGATGGTGTGAGAGCATAAGAGTTTTATGTGAGGATACATGGGTGGATCTGAATTTGGCCTAAGATGTGGGTAAGACCCATGAGTGGGCCCACAGTTCAGTGGATAGTAACATTCATAAAGGACAAGAAAGGATTTAAACAGGGCAGTATTTTAGCTGTGAGAAAGGATTTACACAGGGCAATATTTTAGCTGTGAGAAATTCAAAACATCCCTCACCTGTTTCCCATTTTCCTGGTCTCCCCTCTCCGTGCCCTCTAGAAAGGATACAACCACTGATACAGAGCTCAGGCCCAATCTTTTTGCCAAATCCCAGCTGCCACCTCTCTCCCCATCAGTAGCAATGACAAATGGTCAAATATTTTTCTTTTTATTTAAATAGTCTTGCAGTTGTATTTTTAGTTCCTTTCATTTCTACTGCTCTGTGGGGTGACTGTTCTCAGGTGGTTGTTTTTTTATATTCTCCCTTCCTGGGTGCAGCTTTCATCCACTGCCCACCTACTTTCCTGTTCTGACTGCTTATATTATAATCCTTTATTTCAAATCTTACAGTTATTGACTTTGTCACATCCTGCTCCCTATGGGTTTTTTTCTTCCTATGTAAATCAGATGACATCTGACTCATGTACTTTCCATATTTTTCTCTTTCCATCTGCACTTGCTTTCTTCCTCCCCTCTCCTTACCTGGCGACGTTTTTTCCTATAAACTAATTTTGCTGCACTATAACTTAAAAAAATCAAAACCTAGAAAAGCTGTTTCAGACACTGTTTTCTAGATTGTGTCCCTCCTATCAACTTTTAACAACCAAAACTACATACTTTGACATTTCCTTCAAAGTGCTTTGCATTTGTGTAACAGCACTCAGGCTTATCATCTAAATGCAGACCCCCATTAAGGAAGTTGCTTAATCAGACTGCCAACTAAACACACAGGTAGTCCCAGTGAAGTTACATTAATTGCAGTGACACTATTAGCATCCTTCAGTATTTTTTTTAAATTAGAGCCTGGATTTAAGAAGATGACAAGCCAAAAGCTCCTTTTCCTGTCCTTTGACTTTCTGCTATTTTCCGGTCTTCGTGAATGACCTGGCAGTGCTTACATGCTTTATAATTTTTCTGAAAGGGTCCCTGTCTGCAATTTTACTTCTAGCACTTTAATCCAAATTCTGGACGAGACCGTGCGCTCGGATACATACGGATAAACCCCATTAACTCTAGTGGGAAATGCGTTCATGTGTCTGAAGGCACAATTTAGAATCTGTGAAGAACTGGGTCACCAGACAATGGATCAGTTTAATAAATAAGGTTTTTCTTTTTTAGCTAGAAAAAGGAAAAAAAATGCCTCTTCCCCCAAGCTCTGTTTGAACATTCCCAATTGTCTGTACACAATGCCGAGAACTTGATATTTGATGGGTTACAATTCATTCTTGCACACTATATGCCCCCCCTTTTATTACAGCTAATAGCTATTTAGTCTTCACTGTAGTATTTGTAGTTGTTGGTGTATCATTGAAGTACACGATCCCTTAGGGCTGCCTCACTGCAAATTTCACTGTCTGGTTCATCACCTCCAAACATAAAATCAGTGACAATCGACAATTCTTTATAAAACCTCTTTTCACCCGCCTCTCCTTTTTTGTCGTTATCTTGTCCTCATGAAAATTGCTTTCATATATTGGTCACATACACCAGCTGCTGCCTTGTCTCTACCTTTTACTTAATATTGGTAGTTGAATTTCTTTATCAGACATGCAATATATAGAATAATTTTTTCTGTATTGCACTACTAAAACCAGCTCCTTGCACTGAACCCCGCAGATTGCCTTGCTCGTGTGAACAGTCACACTAACTTCCAAATAGGTACATTAAGACGCACGTAGGATTTGAGCATAGCTGGTCTTTCTGATGCATTCTGTTACACTAGTGAAATAAGCAAAATCACAAAAACTGCAGACTCTCAACAAAATCAGTAAGTCGCCTGTCTAGAAACGATACATACAATTTTTTTTTTCCTACTAGATAGTGACTGGTTCTTTGTTCAGCTGAAGAAAAATGAAGAGAAACCAATGTTGTTTGGATATTTGCATTGTTAAGGACTTATAGGGTCTCTCCCCCCACTGCCAAATGTACCAAACTTTTTATTTCTCCAATCTCGTTTAAAAGAGCATTATTGGAGCATAAAGTCGGGAGCCAGAAAATCCTGAGTGCCCATCTTAGCTAAAAGTGAACTCCTTCCAAGGTCTCCTTTTTATTCCTACTTCCACAACTGTAAAACAGGGATGGTAATCTTTATCTACTTCACAGGAGTACCACAAGAATAAGTTAATGTCTATATAGGACTAAAATATTATGAACCACTACACACATGCTAATACTACTTCCTAATTATTTGTCTAACATTCCCAAATTTTTCTGATTTTTACAAGCCACCTCCCACCCCCTATTTACATTCTTGGATCTTCTGGCTCTCGCTGTCATTCTGGTCCTAACTCCCTCCTGTTCCTCTCAATGTATTCACCAGAAGACAGTCGATTCCAATGAAACAGAAGAAACGCATTTAATTTTTAAAAAAATAAAATTGCTACTTTGGAACCATATTTTTAAATCATCACTGAATGTGTTCATCAATGTGTTAGGGTCACTGAACACATTCAGCAATGTCTTATTTGCGATATTTGGCTCTTTCCAAGGACTTCTCCCAAACAATGTTTGAGTTTGTTTACTTCTAAGAACCACGTAGCAAAAAATCTTCTTGTACTGCTGTAAACTTCAGGCACGTACATTTTTACAGAATAATTCTGCATTTGCTGCCTTACCAAACAAATGTGGTAAGCAACCGAAATCTCCCGAAAGTATTTCACTGGTCCTCTCTGTCTGCATGACCACCATAGATTTGTGTGCTGCTTTTATGTATAATTGGTTAGATTCCAACGATGTGCTCATCACCATATAAAACCTATGAAATACTTAAAAATAGACCGTCCCGACCTTGAGGATCTAACCATCCAGGAGACAGAAACAGACAAGACAGGCCACATTGGCATACTCAGAAGTTAACTTATGGTTCCCCCCGCCCTAACACACACACATTTTCTTCTTTGAAAGCGGAAGTTTCCAGGAACGTGTCTGAGTCTCATACTTCTTTCCAATTCAATTCAGAAGTGGAAACTAAAATGGGTACACCCTTATTTCCCATCCCCCCCAAGGCAACACTGACCCATTAGATTTGACTGCGTTCATATGGCAGCTTCTGATTTAGTTTTAGGTGCTCCAGTGACAGCACCTTGTCCAGTTGATCTCCAGCTTGTCTAGGAGTTTTGGAAGATACTATCCATAACGTTTTAGAAGGTCCTTTATACAATGACATAAGAAGAAAGTATCGATCATTGTTCTTGCAGAAACTGACATATTTCTCAAGCAGAGAAAAATTAATATGGCTTCTCCAGCAAACGGATTAATATTTAGTAAACCATCTTGCAGCTTTTGCTTATAACACTAAAGCAATTAGAGACAAATACCCCTTACTATTGATATAACTGATAAATCTCATTGCTATATTTTTCATAGCGTCAATGATAGACCTATGTACAACCTTTTCACAGGTTTATGACTTGATCGACCACTGTATTTGATCGTGTTCATTTTAGGAGTAGGAACAATGCTTTTACAAGGGTTGTCCCTCACTGTATTTGTATTTGATCACGTTCATTTTAGGAGTAGGAATAATGCTTTGACAAGGGTTGCCCCTATTTTTACCGCAACCTACGCCTGTTTGTTATTTTGGCTTGGATTCATACCGGCGTCCACCATCAGTTGTCCTGGATCATGGCGCTTGCGCGACACCTTTGACGCACGGACCCAGGCAGGATTTTTCGGAGGAGTGGAGAAATTGAGGTGAGGGCGTCATGTCCGTCACACCGTACCCGGGAGTGTGGCTTCGACCCAGAACAGTTTGGATGCTGGACAGGTTTGCCCGGTTGTCCGGTGCAACCTTGGCTCACCACGCGGACAAGCCCACGGGCCATGCTTGCCACCACGCGTGACCATCCCTCCATCTGCAGCGCACGACACTTACCGTGTGGGCTGGCAGCACTGTACGAGGTTTGGGGTTGGCATCCCAGGTAACCAGGCCTGGAAATGGGGGGGGGGGGGGGGG